GAGCATCAGATTGGAGACCACAACCCGTTCGAGGAGGTTCTACCTCTGTGTTCTACTGAGCACTTGATTAACCTGCCCAAGGTATGAACGTCATATAACTCTACTGCTACTTGTATATACTACTACTTATTTATCTACAATTAACAAACTGCAATTATATAATAATATATTATTTTCAGAACAAAGCCCGCCCTCCCATCAAGGACGTCGCGTGTCACGCTATCAGCGACACGTATGAAGGTGTCACGTTGGTCATACAAGAGGGTCTTCTGTGTCGCGAGTGTGACACGCCGCTTGACAGTGACAAACACTTCCTGTTAGTATAACCACTTGATAAAACTACGCTGCAAACATTGAATACAATCAGATTTATTGAATGTCAGTAAAGAGACGTAGTTTTTCCTTTATCGTGTTGAAAACACTCATTAAATTTTACAAAAAAATTGTTATTTTAGTAGCCCTTATTATATTGTGATATCATCTTTTTAATATTTCTATATTTTCTAATGAAGAAAGATTAGATAAATAATATACCAAATGTTTAATACATACTAAAGTATAATTTTAATATTCTCAATATACAGCGGTCGCACGTCGCGCAGCAAGTGTCCATATGCTACATCATGTTACCGAGCGATGTTGAGACACAGTGGATATTGCGCCGGCTCACTTTCACTGGAGGCCGCTCCTGGACCCGCTCCCACGCTATACTGCGTCTGCGAATACTATACAGACATAAGTCAGTTTACATTGGATATAGGATCTCAATCAATATAATATATTTTCATTTTCTTTTATAAATTTTATAACTAACTATGTAACTGTTAGACCAGCAGCATATATAAATCAATATAAAATATACAAATACCCAATGACTATAGTAACTAATAAAATATTAATATTTTAATCCCCAGACGGCATCGTTAAATTAAACAAGTGTGTAGTACATATTAACAGATTTTATTTTCACGACGCAAAAATTGTATACAGTTCGTAAATATTTGCAATTCTGTATGAAAAACTTTGTTGTTCTAATATAATATTACTTCAGGCACGGACATTCTATCTCATCTCCTCGTGACACAACACACAAGCGCGTACTTAACTAAGGAACTAGCACGAGCCAACACCGTCAGGGAAGAACCAAAACCTGCTGATGAAGTAGAGCCTGTGAGTATCTACTAGTGATTACTCATACTGTTTTGCGATTATATTATAATATATTTTGACATTTGCCGCTCAGGCGCGAGGCACGATAGCTCAAGAAGCTTAAATAGTGCCTAGTTTTAACAGAATAAACCAAATTTTCATGTCACATAAAATCAAAATAAAATTTTCATGTCTTAATAACAATTTTATAGAACATACTTGGTCTTTATTCAAAACTCTTAAAGTAATTTAAAAAGGGCTTAAATAAACATGCGTTTCGTAAGGAGTAATTCATTTATTTCAGTTTCAATATTAATTTTAAGAGGTCACATCAAATAGTATACTACGTAGAAGAAATTAAAATCATCTTATATCTGTCTTCAGATGATTCCAGTGTACGCTGAAGGCTGTGAACTGACGGCCAACGTGCTCCTCTACATGGACCATCTCAAACAACACCAGGACAATGAGCTGGAGATTAAATGTACGAGATGTGTGCTGAGATTCGTACGTCTCGGTGAATAATACAATTGTAAGTACTATATAAACAGATGAAACTAATATTTTCGGATTGTTTCGCGTATTTTATTATTTAAAAAACTATTATATGTACACCCGACGTTTCGGTTACTTGTCAGCAACCATGATTAAAGCAGACGAGTTGTCGGGAGTGTGGTGTTTTTAAAAATAATAAAAAACGCAAAGTATTCCGAAAATATTACTTTCATTTAAATTAATACTCGCAAGTCTTAAATCTACTCTATAAAAATAAGTCCGGTTTTCCTTCCTGACGCTATAACTCCAGAACGAACGAACCGATTTCCACGGTTTTGCATTCGTTTGCATATTTTAAGTAGATGGTGCCGGTGCATGATACATTGTTTGAAGGCTACTCATTGTTCTCTGCTCTGGTAATTTCATGTGACAAACCGGTATTGTGTTTGTAGCTTAAACTTTTAAAACCATTAAGTATTTGCGGGATAAATTTAGAAAATCATTGTTTTTCACATGGGCAGTTATACTTTTGCGTGTTCAGGAGTTCGGAAACCATCCGCTTTATTTGTGTTAACGTTAGACCAAAAAACAAAAAATGTGGTTTACAAAGGAGCACTTCAATGAAACGGATAATTTGCGGACACGTATAACGCTTCGATTCGGTATCTACTTTGATTTACTTTCATAAGTATCTATTTTGATCTACTTTGATTCACTTTCATTTACTTAGAGAAGTTCAACTAAATAACACTACATTTCTGAAATCGAAATGAATTCATTACTGTTGTGAAAAGAAATTAAAATTTTCCTTTTCAAATATTAAACAATAAAAAAATTCTTTATCTTTTAATCACCAAACGAAATGTTACATAAAACAAAGCCTGGTGGCGAAACGGAGTTCGCCGGGTTTACTAGTCTCATTATACAATAAAAATAAACGCTCACATCTCGTCTGTCCGTGATCACGGTTGCTGAAAAGTAGCCGAAACGTCGAGAGTATGTAGTTTTTATCAAAAATCAAGTAGCGTAGTATATGCGAAAAATATTAGTTTCATTTACAATAAAATGAGTTCAATACACACATTAATACGTATAATATTTTTCAGGTCAACTGAAAGAGCATCAGATTGGAGACCACAACCCGTTCGAGGAGGTTCTACCTCTGTGTTCTACTGAGCACTTGATTAACCTGCCCAAGGTATGAACGTCATATAACTCTACTGCTACTTGTATATACTACTACTTATTTATCTACAATTAACAAACTGCAATTATATAATAATATATTATTTTCAGAACAAAGCCCGCCCTCCCATCAAGGACGTCGCGTGTCACGCTATCAGCGACACGTATGAAGGTGTCACGTTGGTCATACAAGAGGGTCTTCTGTGTCGCGAGTGTGACACGCCGCTTGACAGTGACAAACACTTCCTGTTAGTATAACCACTTGATAAAACTACGCTGCAAACATTGAATACAATCAGATTTATTGAATGTCAGTAAAGAGACGTAGTTTTTCCTTTATCGTGTTGAAAACACTCATTAAATTTTACAAAAAAATTGTTATTTTAGTAGCCCTTATTATATTGTGATATCATCTTTTTAATATTTCTATATTTTCTAATGAAGAAAGATTAGATAAATAATATACCAAATGTTTAATACATACTAAAGTATAATTTTAATATTCTCAATATACAGCGGTCGCACGTCGCGCAGCAAGTGTCCATATGCTACATCATGTTACCGAGCGATGTTGAGACACAGTGGATATTGCGCCGGCTCACTTTCACTGGAGGCCGCTCCTGGACCCGCTCCCACGCTATACTGCGTCTGCGAATACTATACAGACATAAGTCAGTTTACATTGGATATAGGATCTCAATCAATATAATATATTTTCATTTTCTTTTATAAATTTTATAACTAACTATGTAACTGTTAGACCAGCAGCATATATAAATCAATATAAAATATACAAATACCCAATGACTATAGTAACTAATAAAATATTAATATTTTAATCCCCAGACGGCATCGTTAAATTAAACCAGTATGTAGTACATATTAACAGATTTTATTTTCACGACGCAAAAATTGTATACAGTTCGTAAATATTTGCAATTCTGTATGAAAAACTTTGTTGTTCTAATATAATATTACTTCAGGCACGGACATTCTATCTCATCTCCTCGTGACACAACACACAAGCGCGTACTTAACTAAGGAACTAGCACGAGCCAACACCGTCAGGGAAGAACCAAAACCTGCTGATGAAGTAGAGCCTGTGAGTATCTACTAGTGATTACTCATACTGTTTTGCGATTATATTATAATATATTTTGACATTTGCCGCTCAGGCGCGAGGCACGATAGCTCAAGAAGCTTAAATAGTGCCTAGTTTTAACAGAATAAACCAAATTTTCATGTCACATAAAATCAAAATAAAATTTTCATGTCTTAATAACAATTTTATAGAACATACTTGGTCTTTATTCAAAACTCTTAAAGTAATTTAAAAAGGGCTTAAATAAACATGCGTTTCGTAAGGAGTAATTCATTTATTTCAGTTTCAATATTAATTTTAAGAGGTCACATCAAATAGTATACTACGTAGAAGAAATTAAAATCATCTTATATCTGTCTTCAGATGATTCCAGTGTACGCTGAAGGCTGTGAACTGACGGCCAACGTGCTCCTCTACATGGACCATCTCAAACAACACCAGGACAAGGAGCTGGAGATTAAATGTACGAGATGTGTGCTGAGATTCGTACGTCTCGGTGAATAATACAATTGTAAGTACTATATAAACAGATGAAACTAATATTTTCGGATTGTTTCGCGTATTTTATTATTTAAAAAACTATTATATGTACACCCGACGTTTCGGTTACTTGTCAGCAACCATGATTAAAGCAGACGAGTTGTCGGGAGTGTGGTGTTTTTAAAAATAATAAAAAACGCAAAGTATTCCGAAAATATTACTTTCATTTAAATTAATACTCGCAAGTCTTAAATCTACTCTATAAAAATAAGTCCGGTTTTCCTTCCTGACGCTATAACTCCAGAACGAACGAACCGATTTCCACGGTTTTGCATTCGTTTGCATATTTTAAGTAGATGGTGTGCCGGTGCATGATACATTGTTGAAGGCTACTCATTGTTCTCTGCTCTGGTAATTTCATGTGACAAACCGGTATTGTGTTTGTAGCTTAAACTCTTAAAACCATTAAGTATTTGCGGGATAAATTTAGAAAATCATTGTTTTTCACATGGGCAGTTATACTTTGCGTGTTCAGGAGTTCGGAAACCATCCGCTTTATTTGTGTTAACGTTAGACCAAAAAACAAAAAATGTGGTTTACAAAGGAGCACTTCAATGAAACGGATAATTTGCGGACACGTATAACGCTTCGATTCGGTATCTACTTTGATTTACTTTCATAAGTATCTATTTTGATCTACTTTGATTCACTTTCATTTACTTAGAGAAGTTCAACTAAATAACACTACATTTCTGTAATCGAAATGAATTCATTACTGTTGTGAAAAGAAATTAAAATTTTCCTTTTCAAATATTAAACAATAAAAAAATTCTTTATCTTTTAATCACCAAACGAAATGTTACATAAAACAAAGCCTGGTGGCGAAACGGAGTTCGCCGGGTTTACTAGTCTCATTATACAATAAAAATAAACGCTCACATCTCGTCTGTCCGTGATCACGGTTGCTGAAAAGTAGCCGAAACGTCGAGAGTATGTAGTTTTTATCAAAAATCAAGTAGCGTAGTATATGCGAAAAATATTAGTTTCATTTACAATAAAATGAGTTCAATACACACATTAATACGTATAATATTTTTCAGGTCAACTGAAAGAGCATCAGATTGGAGACCACAACCCGTTCGAGGAGGTTCTACCTCTGTGTTCTACTGAGCACTTGATTAACCTGCCCAAGGTATGAACGTCATATAACTCTACTGCTACTTGTATATACTACTACTTATTTATCTACAATTAACAAACTGCAATTATATAATAATATATTATTTTCAGAACAAAGCCCGCCCTCCCATCAAGGACGTCGCGTGTCACGCTATCAGCGACACGTATGAAGGTGTCACGTTGGTCATACAGAGGGAGGGTCTTCTGTGTCGCGAGTGTGACACGCCGCTTGACAGTGACAAACACTTCCTGTTAGTATAACCACTTGATTAAACGACGCTGCAAACATTGAATACAATCAGATTTATTGAATGTCAGTAAAGAGACGTAGTTTTTCCTTTATCGTGTTGAAAACACTCATTAACTTTTACAAAAAAAAATTGTTATTTTAGTAGCCCTTATTATATTGTGATATCATCTTTTTAATATTTCTATATTTTCTAATGAAGAAAGATTAGATAAATAATATACCAAATGTTTAATACATACTAAAGTATAATTTTAATTCTCAATATACAGCGGTCGCACGTCGCGCAGCAAGTGTCCATATGCTACATCATGTTACCGAGCGATGTTGAGACACAGTGGATATTGCGCCGGCTCACTTTCACTGGAGGCCGCTCCTGGACCCGCTCCCACGCTATACTGCGTCTGCGAATACTATACAGACATAAGTCAGTTTACATTGGATATAGGATCTCAATCAATATAATATATTTTCATTTTCTTTTATAAATTTTATAACTAACTATGTAACTGTTAGACCAGCAGCATATATAAATCAATATAAAATATACAAATACCCAATGACTATAGTAACTAATAAAATATTAATATTTTAATCCCCAGACGGCATCGTTAAATTAAACAAGTGTGTAGTACATATTAACAGATTTTATTTTCACGACGCAAAAATTGTATACAGTTCGTAAATATTTGCAATTCTGTATGAAAAACTTTGTTGTTCTAATATAATATTACTTCAGGCACGGACATTCTATCTCATCTCCTCGTGACACAACACACAAGCGCGTACTTAACTAAGGAACTAGCACGAGCCAACACCGTCAGGGAAGAACCAAAACCTGCTGATGAAGTAGAGCCTGTGAGTATCTACTAGTGATTACTCATACTGTTTTGCGATTATATTATAATATATTTTGACATTTGCCGCTCAGGCGCGAGGCACGATAGCTCAAGAAGCTTAAATAGTGCCTAGTTTTTAACAGAATAAACCAAATTTTCATGTCACATAAAATCAAAATAAAATTTTCATGTCTTAATAACAATTTTATAGAACATACTTGGTCTTTATTCAAAACTCTTAAAGTAATTTAAAAAGGGCTTAAATAAACATGCGTTTCGTAAGGAGTAATTCATTTATTTCAGTTTCAATATTAATTTTAAGAGGTCACATCAAATAGTATACTACGTAGAAGAAATTAAAATCATCTTATATCTGTCTTCAGATGATTCCAGTGTACGCTGAAGGCTGTGAACTGACGGCCAACGTGCTCCTCTACATGGACCATCTCAAACAACACCAGGACAAGGAGCTGGAGATTAAATGTACGAGATGTGTGCTGAGATTCGTACGTCTCGGTGAATAATACAATTGTAAGTACTATATAAACAGATGAAACTAATATTTTCGGATTGTTTCGCGTATTTTATTATTTAAAAAACTATTATATGTACACCCGACGTTTCGGTTACTTGTCAGCAACCATGATTAAAGCAGACGAGTTGTCGGGAGTGTGGTGTTTTTAAAAATAATAAAAAACGCAAAGTATTCCGAAAATATTACTTTCATTTAAATTAATACTCGCAAGTCTTAAATCTACTCTATAAAAATAAGTCCGGTTTTCCTTCCTGACGCTATAACTCCAGAACGAACGAACCGATTTCCACGGTTTTGCATTCGTTTGCATATTTTAAGTAGATGGTGCCGGTGCATGATACATTGTTTGAAGGCTACTCATTGTTCTCTGCTCTGGTAATTTCATGTGACAAACCGGTATTGTGTTTGTAGCTTAAACTTTTAAAACCATTAAGTATTTGCGGGATAAATTTAGAAAATCATTGTTTTTCACATGGGCAGTTATACTTTTGCGTGTTCAGGAGTTCGGAAACCATCCGCTTTATTTGTGTTAACGTTAGACCAAAAAACAAAAAATGTGGTTTACAAAGGAGCACTTCAATGAAACGGATAATTTACGGACACGTATAACGCTTCGATTCGGTATCTACTTTGATTTACTTTCATAAGTATCTATTTTGATCTACTTTGATTCACTTTCATTTACTTAGAGAAGTTCAACTAAATAACACTACATTTCTGAAATCGAAATGAATTCATTACTGTTGTGAAAAGAAATTAAAATTTTCCTTTTCAAATATTAAACAATAAAAAAATTCTTTATCTTTTAATCACCAAACGAAATGTTACATAAAACAAAGCCTGGTGGCGAAACGGAGTTCGCCGGGTTTACTAGTCTCATTATACAATAAAAATAAACGCTCACATCTCGTCTGTCCGTGATCACGGTTGCTGAAAAGTAGCCGAAACGTCGAGAGTATGTAGTTTTTATCAAAAATCAAGTAGCGTAGTATATGCGAAAAATATTAGTTTCATTTACAATAAAATGAGTTCAATACACACATTAATACGTATAATATTTTTCAGGTCAACTGAAAGAGCATCAGATTGGAGACCACAACCCGTTCGAGGAGGTTCTACCTCTGTGTTCTACTGAGCACTTGATTAACCTGCCCAAGGTATGAACGTCATATAACTCTACTGCTACTTGTATATACATACTACTACTTATTTATCTACAATTAACAAACTGCAATTATATAATAATATATTATTTTCAGAACAAAGCCCGCCCTCCCATCAAGGACGTCGCGTGTCACGCTATCAGCGACACGTATGAAGGTGTCACGTTGGTCATACAAGAGGGTCTTCTGTGTCGCGAGTGTGACACGCCGCTTGACAGTGACAAACACTTCCTGTTAGTATAACCACTTGATAAAACTACGCTGCAAACATTGAATACAATCAGATTTATTGAATGTCAGTAAAGAGACGTAGTTTTTCCTTTATCGTGTTGAAAACACTCATTAAATTTTACAAAAAAATTGTTATTTTAGTAGCCCTTATTATATTGTGATATCATCTTTTTAATATTTCTATATTTTCTAATGAAGAAAGATTAGATAAATAATATACCAAATGTTTAATACATACTAAAGTATAATTTTAATATTCTCAATATACAGCGGTCGCACGTCGCGCAGCAAGTGTCCATATGCTACATCATGTTACCGAGCGATGTTGAGACACAGTGGATATTGCGCCGGCTCACTTTCACTGGAGGCCGCTCCTGGACCCGCTCCCACGCTATACTGCGTCTGCGAATACTATACAGACATAAGTCAGTTTACATTGGATATAGGATCTCAATCAATATAATATATTTTCATTTTCTTTTATAAATTTTATAACTAACTATGTAACTGTTAGACCAGCAGCATATATAAATCAATATAAAATATACAAATACCCAATGACTATAGTAACTAATAAAATATTAATATTTTAATCCCCAGACGGCATCGTTAAATTAAACCAGTATGTAGTACATATTAACAGATTTTATTTTCACGACGCAAAAATTGTATACAGTTCGTAAATATTTGCAATTCTGTATGAAAAACTTTGTTGTTCTAATATAATATTACTTCAGGCACGGACATTCTATCTCATCTCCTCGTGACACAACACACAAGCGCGTACTTAACTAAGGAACTAGCACGAGCCAACACCGTCAGGGAAGAACCAAAACCTGCTGATGAAGTAGAGCCTGTGAGTATCTACTAGTGATTACTCATACTGTTTTGCGATTATATTATAATATATTTTGACATTTGCCGCTCAGGCGCGAGGCACGATAGCTCAAGAAGCTTAAATAGTGCCTAGTTTTAACAGAATAAACCAAATTTTCATGTCACATAAAATCAAAATAAAATTTTCATGTCTTAATAACAATTTTATAGAACATACTTGGTCTTTATTCAAAACTCTTAAAGTAATTTAAAAAGGGCTTAAATAAACATGCGTTTCGTAAGGAGTAATTCATTTATTTCAGTTTCAATATTAATTTTAAGAGGTCACATCAAATAGTATACTACGTAGAAGAAATTAAAATCATCTTATATCTGTCTTCAGATGATTCCAGTGTACGCTGAAGGCTGTGAACTGACGGCCAACGTGCTCCTCTACATGGACCATCTCAAACAACACCAGGACAAGGAGCTGGAGATTAAATGTACGAGATGTGTGCTGAGATTCGTACGTCTCGGTGAATAATACAATTGTAAGTACTATATAAACAGATGAAACTAATATTTTCGGATTGTTTCGCGTATTTTATTATTTAAAAAACTATTATATGTACACCCGACGTTTCGGTTACTTGTCAGCAACCATGATTAAAGCAGACGAGTTGTCGGGAGTGTGGTGTTTTTAAAAATAATAATAAAAAACGCAAAGTATTCCGAAAATATTACTTTCATTTAAATTAATACTCGCAAGTCTTAAATCTACTCTATAAAAATAAGTCCGGTTTTCCTTCCTGACGCTATAACTCCAGAACGAACGAACCGATTTCCACGGTTTTGCATTCGTTTGCATATTTTAAGTAGATGGTGCCGGTGCATGATACATTGTTTGAAGGCTACTCATTGTTCTCTGCTCTGGTAATTTCATGTGACAAACCGGTATTGTGTTTGTAGCTTAAACTCTTTAAAACCATTAAGTATTTGCGGGATAAATTTAGAAAATCATTTTTTTTCACATGGGCAGTTATACTTTGCGTGTTCAGGAGTTCGGAAACCATCCGCTTTATTTGTGTTAACGTTAGACCAAAAAACAAAAAATGTGGTTTACAAAGGAGCACTTCAATGAAACGGATAATTTGCGGACACGTATAACGCTTCGATTCGGTATCTACTTTGATTTACTTTCATAAGTATCTATTTTGATCTACTTTGATTCACTTTCATTTACTTAGAGAAGTTCAACTAAATAACACTACATTTCTGTAATCGAAATGAATTCATTACTGTTGTGAAAAGAAATTAAAATTTTCCTTTTCAAATATTAAACAATAAAAAAATTCTTTATCTTTTAATCACCAAACGAAATGTTACATAAAACAAAGCCTGGTGGCGAAACGGAGTTCGCCGGGTTTACT